ATTTAGTTAAGCAAATTCATTTTTGCTGTGCCAATTATTACCACGATAAAGGATGTTAGAAAATTCTAGTCTGGTAATTATGATATGTTATTGTCTGGAGGAATAGTATTTTCGAGGAAGTTTGGTATATCGGTTATACGAAGAGTCATTATTATTTGCTATTACAGGCTTGAATTTATATAGAATGAATTTTGTATATAACAAAATAATTTGAAAGGGACGGGGAGGTTCGTTTGGAATCGCAATATATACACTCCACGCGGTAGCGCTCACGTCCACGGCATCAAGTGCGCTCTCACTACTCGCAGCCCCCGCCACTTCGGCGCTCACCACTCCGCTCGCCGCGCTACTCGCGCGCCAGCCACTCGGCTGCGCTCAGGCCACTATCGCGCTATCTCAGCCACCTCTCGCTCTCCTCAGCCACTCTCGCCTCTCCACTCCGCCTCCAGCACCCCCTCTCGACCCTCATCAGCGATCCAACTCTCGCCCTCCCATCTGCCACTCTCCAGCCCTCTCGCCTCTCAGCCACTCTCGGCCCTCGTCGCCACTCTCAGCACTCTCAGTCCTCTCTATCAGCACATCATCGCCCTCTCGCTCTCTCACGGCACACTCTCGCTCTCAGTTACTCTCGCTCCCACCTCTCCGACGCCCTACTCTCGCCCTCTCAGGCCAATCTCGCTCCGCTCTAGCCACCTCTCAGCCCTCTCCTCTCTCGCCGCTCTCAGTAACGTCTCAGCCCTCTCAGACCAACTCTCGCCTCTCAGCCAAACTCCGCCCTCTCAGCCACTTTCCCCTCTCAGCACACTACTCGCCCTCTTTCAGCCATCTCGCCCTCTCAGCCACTCTCGCCCTCTCAGCCACTCTCGCCCCTGAGCTCATCGCAGCGCCCAGCCATCGTGGCCCAGGCCACTCATGCGTCAGTCCACTCGTGCGCCCAAGCCACTCGTGCATTCACTCGCGCGCGCACTCATATCGCGCGGTTCAGCCAATAGCGCTCCCACCTATTCCACGCGCCAAGCCACTCGCGCTCTTTGCCACTTCTCATTGCCACCCTCGTAGGCACTCCATCCTTTCCGCATCGACAGCATATGTACCTGCAGGCGCAGCACACAGAGCGTGAGACGTGGGCCGACGGCGAGCGCGGCGCTACGAGGGGAGGCGAGCGGGTCCCAGCGCACGCAGGCCCCGCAGCGAGAGCGGCGCAGCAGCGCGGGCGGCCGCCGGGCGCCGCCCCACCGCACCACGGGCCGCCCGGCAGCGCCAGCAGCCGACGTTAGTCGCCCGCCGCCAGCGCGCCGCGCGCGCTCCGCCCGCGCCCCCGGCGTCGATCGACACCTCCTAGGGGTCGAGGACCGTCGCCTCTGCAGCGGCGTTGACCGAGACCACCCAGGGGCGAGGGCCGTGGCCTCTGCAGCGGCGTTGACCGAGACCTCCTAAGGGTCGAGGACCGTCGTCTCTGCAGCTGCGTTGACCGAGACCTCCGAGGGGTGGAGGACAGTGGCCTCTGCAGCGGCGTCGATCGACACCTCTGAGGGGTCGAGAACCGTCGCCTCTGCAGCGGCGTTGACCGATACCTAGTGGGGGTCGAGGACCGTGGCCTCTGCAGCGGCGTTGACCGAGACCTCCTAGAGGTCAAAGACCGTCGCCTCTGCAGCGGCGTTGACCGATACCTAGTGGGAGTCGAGGACCGTGGCCTCTGCAGCGGCGTCGATCGACACCTCCTAGGGGTATTGACTGAGACCTCCTAGTGTTCCTAGGGGTCGAAGAACCTTCGTCTTGATTGATTGGTTCATTCATGCGTTGATTTGGATTGAAAAAAACACGGAAAAGTATCGATTAGAGCAGTCGGGCCCTAGAATTCTCCATCAGACCGCGACAGAACTCGACCTAGCTATCTATCTAGTGTCAAAAACCCTGTCACCGTCAGGACTCAAACCCTAAGACCTTCCTGTCAGAGGCACTGCAGTGGTATCAGTTGATGGCATGAGCCACCTAAGTCTGTCGATGGCGGATTTTCGTGTCTTGCTACAAAGCTAGGTCGAATTCAGCGGCTGCATAAAAGCGATTTCTAGCGGGTGGCTGCTTTGATTGGTAGTTTTGGTTGTTTCTCCTATCAATACCGGGAGAATGGCTGAGCTCTAACCTAATAATAGTGCCACGAGATATCTTTTCTTCCTCGCCCCTGTGCCCTCCTTTATTCCTATACTCGTACTCACAAATATGTCACTCGTACTCACAACGTGTTAGTAGTACATATTCATATATGGCCACTCAGCTTTAAATACGCATAGTTTATTGTCAGTAATACTTACTTTTTATTATAACAATATATTTAGGAAGTACAACTAGTAGACATCTGCAAGTGGCTCTAAATGCTTTGCCAATATATAAGTTTATGTTAGATTTTTATATTTAAATCAGAATATTCTTTGAGATTGGTCACAGTCCTAGACATTATTTATCTGAAACAATTATAGAATGTTAGTTGGCCGTGAAATGAACTATTAAAGATACTGATGTAGTGAGTGAACTGTTGTGTAAAACCTGATTACAGATTGTATTAGTCATGAATTTTTAAAGACATTTATTGAAAATGGGCAACAATTTTTAAAGTGATAATTGTAAGAGAACCCACATTTTCTAAAATAATGTTCACGAGATTAAAATATGAGAATTGTACGTGTTCTGCTGCGCATTATATATATGAGGTTAGAGTTCCGAATTATTATTTTGAATTCGCATGTGTGAAATGCAAATTCAAAATGGTCGTTAAAGTTAAATTTCAATTTCTATTTTATATCTTTTAAATAGATCCCATTTGCATATCATTGAAAAATGTTCTTTACATGAAATTGCATTAATGTAAAAACTTGAGAACATTAATATCATTTGGAGGGTTAGGACATTTTTGTAAGATATATTATTTAGTTTCAGTATTATTTTTAAAATGTATTTGAATTTCTGTAAATCTCTTATTAATAAATGTTTTGAAATAGAATCTTTTCATTTCAACGCAATAATGTAAGCCAAACGGCAGTAGAAGTATTTCGAGGAAATCATACACTATAAAAAAATTCCTCTTCCTTCTTTTAATAGATTTTCAATTATTTAAAATTTGGAGATTCATGTTATGTTGAATTTTTTAATGTTGAAAACGATATCTATTAAGTTTCTCTATAAAAATCTGGTGGAAGTGTAAAAAAAATATAATGAATATTTTAAGGTCTGTTGTAATGTTTATTTTATTGTACGTTTCTTCACCTTAATAAAACAGACTGAGTATTTTATAAAACAATTTATTTCAAGATATATTTAACGTTTCGACCCGATTTGGTGTAGTTTTCAAAAATCAATATTAAAATTAATATATAAAATTTAAAAAAATATTCATATTATTGGCATAATGGAACCTACAGGTTAACTGTAAGAGAAATCAGGTATTTCTGAAACAAATATTTTGGTCCTAACTAACGCACGGATTTGTGTACTCTATAAATATTGTTGGTTTATTTTAGTTATTGACTTCAAAGAGTGCAGGAAAATAAAAAAAAGAATGTAATTTGTTATTTTATTTTAATTTATATTACAATAAGTCCAACTTCAATACATATATGTTAAATTCATTCAAATATTAGATAAAGCTTGGCGCCTGAATTTTTCAAAATGACAATGCAAGAGTTAATCTGTTAGAATACGTAATGAAATAAAGCACTTCAAGAATTTCCTTTACAACGCTAATAAACTATTACAAAGTTACTCTTCTCCAAATCTTCCATATTAACTATGCCTTAGCCTGGACCACCTTGAGTTAGAAAGCACGATTTTCCCTCGCAAGAGTTGTCGCAGCATTTTTCTTTTGGAGAGGGGCAGTTGGAGTCGCTAACACAAGTTTTACGACATTCTCTCACCAATCCGCTTGGACAGTTCCCTCCTGGAATAAGGCAGGAATGGTCAGTGACAAAACATGTAACAGAATATTTTCGATCTATACAGCTGCTCCGAAATACATTTAAACTCTTAAATCTTATCGTACCCCCACGTGAACGAATCAACTCACTACACTGACGTTTCGCTACGTATATACAAGTACAACATATAAACGTACGCCCAAATTGGTGATGAAGCTTCAGCCTTCGGATTCCACGACTATCATAAAACAGGCTGTGCAACCCATATATTTTAAAGTATTATACGTCAATTTTATAGTGAATTTACAAATTAAACACACTTCCTTGGGAATATTTCTTAAAATAATCAATATAAAAGTATAAATAAGTAGGATTCTTTAAAAAAATCATTACTTTGTCCTTCGTACTTTCGAATATATTAAAATTCGATATGCTCAAATAAACGAATTGTGAAGAAAATTTCTCAATAAAAGCACTAAAGTAAGGACCGGAATACCTTATTGACCACTGTCTGACACACCCTGATCAAATTCAAAACGAACATTAAATATCCCACAATTTATCATTTACTTTACTTCTTTTATGATTACTCTGAATATTTACGAATATGTTTGCAATTCTGAGTAGGAATATCTGTTTAATGCAGTCTTAAACTAGTGCAGCACGTACTTACTAGCATCACTTTATAATGTCCTTTGATACACACGACACTTAATTTTAAGAAAAACAATTAAGGAGTCTCTAAGAAAATAATTATTCAAAAATCGTATAAATTTCCCGCAAAATTATGTAAAAACAATTAATTTTTCAAAAATTGTACACGATTAAATTTTGATGTCTTTAAAGAACATATTAAAGAAATCCATTAATACCAATATTCTAGTTGAAAGAAGACAGGCGTCTTTATTCGGGAAATAATGTTAACTTTAAACAATTTTCAAAAATTTAGACACCTTAATGAAAATGAGATATGCACCATATTTTAAAGCGTTTTGTACGCTATCTCAGGACGACGTTTAATCGAAAAATTTAGTCATTTTTAAGAAAATGTTGAAAATGAAGTTGTGACTTCATGTTAAGGACATCCAAAAGCAAACAAATCCATTTTCAACACGCAAGGCCTTCAGTTTTTTTCAGAATGATCGAGAGATATCAATTTTGCAGAAAGTCGTTTAAACGATTTAGGCGCCAACTTTGACCACAAAAATACAAACACCCAGATCAATCGATTTTTCGGTATCAAGGAGCTACAAATAAGGGATTCTGTCTACCCAATGTGTTCGAGGAAGTAATTTACTCCATAAAGGAACAATACGTACGGTCATTTCCTTTGCCAGAACCAGGTAATAAGAGTTTTGGTGTCGAAAATTCGCCATTTTCTGGCGCACGATTACAGTTCTTTCTCTATACGCCGTGAGCAGTAAGTGAGAAAATAGAAAGGTTTATATTAGAAACGATAGGTTAGCTGAGATCTATTGTAAAATTTGTGAAAACAAAAAATACATTGATAGACTGTCGACTTCCATTCCCCTCAATGTCTTAATCAATGACGACATCCAATGACGAACAAAAGAAATATTTTCAAGCAAATAAGGTAAACATTGCTTATATATACTACAAATCTCAGAAGGGATATTTTTGCTCAATAAATATTAAGATCTTCAAATAAAAATTGTTTTTGAAGGATATTGTTAGTTACCTACTTGAACTATATATTCTATATTTTTATTTACAGTAATTAACCGGATTTATTTTTGTGCAATTTGTAAATGAATTTTGAGTAATGTTTCAAAAAAATGTTTTAAAAAATCACTATTTGATGCTCTCGTAATACTCAATGGTTTCTTGAAGCCTTATTAATATTCTCTTACGTACGTCCAGGGCCAGCACTAGAATCAGGAATCTCTGTCGAAAGTACAAGAACCACGGCAGCGGCTATGATGAAGATCTTGAAAGCTACAAATATCAATTTTAACATTAATTATATTATAGGGTTACTAACCTCATATGAAGTAATTGTTTGTATGCAGTACTCATATTTAAATCATTCATTTTTGTCTTCATAGAAGTTGTCTTTCCATTGGTAGATGAATTTAATTTTATGAGATATTACACTCAAATACAGTATAAGCATACATTTATAAACTAGTCGTAATTGTTTTCAATTTGAATGAATGAATGAAATTAATTTCACATCTTTGTATATTCAGCAGTTGAATAACAATATACATATACACAATATACACACAATACATACCACGAATTTAATAATACACTACATGCTAAACCTTTTCCTGTATTAATTAAATACTATGATTCTTTCACATTTGTCCGCTAATAACCACATCATCTTATCCTGAATATTCCTTCTTGCCCACATTCTTCCTTCCTCAAAAACCAAACATCTCTCTAAAATATGTTCCCATTCTTTCTCTACTATCTGTCTCTCACACTAAGCAGCCAATATGAACTCACTCTCATTTCATTTCCTAACCTATATTTTGCAATCCTATGTCTGTCGCTTTCCTTACATTTATCTTTTAAATAGCTAGGAACATCAACCACCTGAATAATTTTAAACCATTTATTAAAATTTGAATTCCTTATTTTTTTTGTAATCTTCCTGCAATAACGTATCATTATCTTTTTGAATCAATTCTTTACCTAAGTAAAACCCCTCCTCAAACAAATAACCTTTATTATTCCAAAAAGTTTCCCTTTCCCAATCCGATTTCTCAGTCTCCGCATTTTATCTATTTCCCTACGAACTTCCTTTAATAACGCATTAACCCTTCCTCTCCTAACCCTTTCCTCAAACGTACAAGCAATTTTGCCCATGCCTATTCTCATTTGTTTTGTCTGTCTCCCATCTTACCATGTCACCTGGTGCGCAATAGTCTGTTCCTAGACTCCATCTTAAAAAATATTTCATGTATTGCTTCTATTTTCCTCCTTTCCTTCCATCCCCAAATTTCTGCTTCCACCTCAAAATAGATCAAACAATACTATTATATATCCTCATACTCTTTGTCTAAAACTTCCTGCACCTTCTCTTTATTATATCCCACACTTGTGCAAGTTAATTTTACGAACCTCACAATGCTTACTGAATGGAAACGGCATGTATACAGTTAGAAATGTGAACTCTATGTAGGGTTGCCACCTTGCCAATTTCAGAAAACCGGAGACCGCTGCGACCGAGGGGGGGGGTGGATTACTGAAATCTAAAAAGAAATTGACGCAGACTTTTATTATTTCTTAAAATATATTTATACATCTTTGGTTTCTAGTGATCTATAAATAATTAATATTTTATTCAAAGATAGTGTTACCGATTTTGGTAAAACATTCTACTTTTTCCAAGCCTATACTTTTCGTTCTCAGAGCGTTTTTAGCAGAGATATTTGCTCGGTTTTTTTAAGAAAGGCCAATGAATGATCACAAGTCAAGTGTAGTTCAATTTTACAATAATCAGATTTACGACGCTTAGAATTTAATTTGTTTCGATTATCGATCCAAACATTAACACTATCGAAAAAAATCCTCTCAACAGGAGCGTTGCTTACTTGGATAGATAAAATTTTTCCGACAAAGGTTTAGTTCAACTCTGCTAAAATATTTTATCACCTGATGCAAACTCACCTTCACCCATTTTTTATCTGTCAGGCTAGTCAGATCCTTTGATTGCAGGCCACCTTTTTGGAGAGTAGCTGAATATCGTCGGTATAAAAGCATCTTCATCGATATGGAGACCCAAAATCGTTGCAGAATCAATAAAATCTTGTACGATGGTTCTCCTTTTTAAAATGATGATAGAGAAATACTGAAAACGGACTTTTTTCAAAAATCGTACCATTTTTCAAGATATGTGGATTGCTTTCGCATAAACTTGTAAAGCTTCTTTTCGAATTTTACCATTTTCTCTGGACCCAAGTTTTGTTTAAAAAGGGTGCAATTTGCTGCCAAAAAAACTTATCCCTGTGTCTGCATTCCAATTTCTTCTTTTAAGGCTGACCATTATATCATGACTCAGCAACTAGCAGAAGACGTTTTCCCTAGGACTAAAATGCTTTGTGTCATGATGAACATTATATGATGTATGAATACAAATAACATTTCGGTAAAGACAAAGTGGAACTTCAAAATCATCTTGAAGTTCATCCTCTTGATCACAAACAAAACTCCAAACTACTTTATTCGTTTCATCCTCTCCTTGTTCTATAAAATACAATTTAACTGCGGGCCAATATTCTAATAGGCGTTCAAGTGCGTGAAATAAAGAGAGCCATCTTGTTACTATGTGTCTTAAAACATTATTGTATTCCATTTACAGATACTCCAAGCATTCCTTTAATTTTCTTACATTTCTCGTACTGTTTGCAAAGTCAGCATAAACTTTTAATATGAAATTCTCAACATCATACGACAGTGATTTACACGCATTTCTCGCAGTGTTGTGAATTACATGGCAGTTACAATTGCTTTTAATGATGTTAGTATTTAAATCAGTACTTTCTTGAAAACAGAGTTGTTTTTCCCGAAATTCACTGGTGAATTGTCCGCAGAAAATGAACTCACGTCTTCTAATTTTAATCCGCAATTCTTCAAGGTTGATGTTAACCGAGTGGTGATAGCTTCTGCAGTTTCGAAACTGTCTTCATAAAACTCAATTATGTGATCTTTGATTCCCACATTTATATCGGAATATCTTACAACGACTGGAAAAAGTTTTACATTTCCTTTGTTAGAAGCATCAGTTGCGATTGAGAAATTAACGGCAGATTCCTTTCCACCATTCATTTCAGCCAGTACCATTTCAATAGACTTCAGTGCTAGAACATTTTCAACTAGAGCCACAGCTTTCGTCTTTCCACAATGCACTTTCTTTCCAAGGTTGGAATACGAGTACAATTTTGAATTGATCTTCATACCGCAGTCCATACTTAAGTAACTGTGGTGATGAGATACATCATGAAATACTTGTGCCAATTCTATTATAGCAACATTTAATTCTTCGAAAGAAAGGACAGATTTCTGATGAAATAGAAAAAGCTTTAAATTTGAAGTTGAAAAATCTATTTATTTTGTAAAAAAGTTGAAAACGTATTGAAGTTGAAAAAAAACGGTGATAATTTTTCAAAAACCGGAGACCGGAGATGAAGCTCAAAAACCGGAGTCTCCGATCTAAAACCGGAGAGGTGGCAACCCTAAGCTATGTATTAAGTTAACACATCCATACAGATAGAAGCATGGCTTCGTATTTCTCTCGTGTGACTTACCCATTGTGCGAGTTGGGATCATGTGTTAAGACTCCGCTCCGCGAAGTAAGTTTTCTGCAAAACGAGTCTTACTTTATACAGCCCGCCGATAGTGCAGAGACGAAGGAAGATCAACGTATCTGAAGAGAGCACATTATTATAATTAGCATTTTATTTTTACTTTCTCGCCCTTTCTTTTATTTTTATACCATTAGTGTCATTAAACGCAATGTACATCTAACCAAAATGATTGAAATTCCTTGTTTCATGAAAAGAATATATACGATTTTGCTATAATTTGTAGTTCTGCTGGAAACCGGCGTTATTTATTTTGATAACATTTTCATTTGGTTTATAAATAAAATTAAAGTTTTTGAAATATGATGGCATAGATGTGTGATAGTAAAAAATTGATTACTTTGCCACCAAAAGGCTTCCATCAACCCTTGTGTAATCTAGCTATTGACTTCTTTGTCTCTCTTAAAGTATTATAACCTTTTAAATGTGTTGTTACATAAACGAATAAATTGTGGTCAAATTACAGCTTAGTCTGCATATGATTGAGAACGAATCTCGATAGATATTTTTTGGTATTGTAATATTGTGCATTTTGCATTTACTGTCATAATATATGTCACAATTCGTTATTGTCGCCATTGCCTCCCATATCCTTGCAGAAATCAGTTTTAAACTTCCAGCGCGCACGAGTTTGGCTTAGCGCGAATGACACTTTTAACAACTGGAATTACCACATTTCTTGTCAGGTACTGCGAAAATGGTGGTTTGAGTGAGTCCTATTTATCATTTCTTGAGTTGGTTAATATAGGAAGTTATTAGCGAAGTTATTCGAATTTTGCTGAATTTTTGCCAAGACTAGTAGCTAGTACGATTTGATCCCTGAAGACTTCCAACATTTGGAAAACCTACCAAGCTTGGCTGTATCAAATTCATCTTCGCTTTAGGACACATCCATGGGTTGTGCTTTCAGATGTTCACTGATGTGAGTTTCAAAATCCATAACAGTGGTTTGTATTCATCAGTAATGTACAATTTGTAAATATAATTTGTTCATATTTGTAAACATGTGAGCAAATTTGTAACGAAACTTGGATAAAATAATCGCAGTATCTCACGTCCAGCTCCTATAACGCACGGAAAATCTCTTAGAAACTTTCACGGAAGAGCGTTTAAGTACCTCATACCGAAGATTTCATTATCGAGACCCGGATAATGAAAAGGAGTTCTTATCATGAGATTGTGGTCTAACTGGTTTCCAATGCCGCTTGAAATTCAATATCATCTGAAAACCATTCCCCTCAATCAAACATATGAATTAGTGAAGTCATAGGGTTCCGAGACCAGTCTCATACAAATGATCTTGGCTGTCCGGATAACTACGCTTCGAAGGCTCTGGGGCCGACGTTTTGACCATGTTGTCGTGGTCTTCCCCCCTCACGGCTTGTCCGCAGGGCCAGGGTTGGCACACCAGTCCTGAGGAAGTCCACGAGAAGATAGTGTGACGTCATGGATACTCACAGCGACCACAGACACAGATCTTTCGTATAACAAATATATTTATTAACAAAGAAAACAAAACAAATATATACACTTAATAATCTACTTACACCCTAGCTCTGATAGACCTACTATCCCCTGATCGCGGGAGCGATCCAAACCCGATTGAAGATGGTTTTGATTGTGGCATTCGCCACTCCTACTTTTGAAGCGCGCACAAAATCTAGCTTCCGTGACCGGATGTCACGCTGGGACACAAAGTTCGTTCTGGCGCACCAACGGCTGGTTTGCCTCGATCGCAGGAGCGATCTTATCCGATTGAGAATCGGCGTGAATCGTGGCACTCAACCACTCTTCACCTCGGAGCACGCACACAGCATCGCTCCCCCGTGACCGCAGTCACCCAAGGACCTAAAGTCCGCAAGCTTCGTCAACTAGTGACTCGAGCGTCGCGAGCCTGGCTCGCATATGCACCGTCGTGGCGCCAAGTTTTGTGCACACGCACGAGGTTCTCCCACTGTCTCCAGAACCCACCCACTGGCTCTGTACACTCTGTTATATAGGCGAGGCCCACGTGACCTACTACGTCACGCCACCCCCTCGCTTGTTATAACAGTGAAAAGGCCAGATGACTCCCAAAGCCTTGTGTCTCCCGTTTCCGCGTTCTTCCCTTTACGGAAAAACCCTTCTTCCTGTGGCGAGGCAAATCCTCTACCAAGCGTCCCCAAATAGATGCCATGAGGCACGCTGGCTAATACGTTACAATAGTCAAAACGTCGGCACCACACCCTTGGACGCGGCGTCATCCGGACAGCCAAGATCATTTGCATACATATGCACCATCCTTCACCACTCGTGACCATCGTATTGTCCTTCATACAATGAAAGACAGAGGCCAATGCCAAATAACCAAGAAAGAGGTAGGCATAAAGAAGTGGGCCGTTCTCAACTGCACACAAATATTAGTAGTATCGTAGACAGTCATACGATCACCCGTGTGACCTTCCGGTAGATTTCTTTTATTTCCCCAATCGGATCAATGTGTCTCGGTCTTCCGGGAAAAAAATACTATTCATTCCCAACACTTTTCAAAACGGGTATTAAAAAATTCGAAAGAAATGTGATTTTTGGAGGGGGAATAATCTAAAACGTGCTTATGATGGATTTAAATCTAGTCATGATCATTAGATCAATCTATTTCCCTCGACAATAATTGATATGTACTGTTTTTACCCAGATATTCATAGAATATTGAGAATTGTTTATAAAAACGTGTATATAAGCCACGTACTGTGATGGAATATTATGACATGAAGCGTTACATATATTGATAATGAAATCTAATTTTGTAATGAAACAAAATTACAAAAAAGTACTTATATCTATACTTCATGTAACTTGAAGACTAAGCAAACGATGCATTTAAAAAAATATATTTTTATAATGAACTTGCGTAGCGCAAATTTAAATCTGATATAATATTAAATATATATTCACCAGAACCCTAAGCTAGTTATCAATATATTATGTGAAATAAAGTAATGTGCCGACCTGGATGGCCTAGGTGGCTAAGAGCGTGTACCGCCTCAGCGCTTCGGTCCGAAGGGTCGCGGGCATACTTGTTTGTCCCTCGCCTCCCATGTAGGGCCTCGCATTCTGGAGACCCCAGATCAGAGGTGCCTGCAAGTGTGTTGGTGTCTAGTGTATGATTGAATATGCGTTCCATCCGGACGTAAAGGGTAGCCGGCAGGTAAATACCTAAGAAATAAAGTAACGTGAAATAAAGTTAGTTGGCCGTTATGTTTGAGCTTAGGTCAACATCTGCGTACTTGGTAACACGGAGTATTCCTTCTTGGGTGGAGAGCGCCATATTGGAACGGAGAATCAGCCCAACATTTCTTCAGGATGGAAGTAAGAACATATTTAAGGAAGGATCGCTAACGGTCCTTAGCCAGTTTTATATCCCCTTAGATTTGACACTGCACATATTGTACTTATATTAATATTATTTTCTTTGAACTATCGAAACAACATTTGTGTCAATTACTTCGTGCTAAATAGTTTTGGGATGGCAACGGTAATCCTCAATTTCCAAATGAGAAACTTTGTCTCTGGTAATTGATATAACTTACTACTGTAACGAGGTGGTGAAATTTTGTTGATTTTATTATTATTATTGTTATTATTATCATTATTATTATTACATAGTGGAATTAGTATAATTAGTATACCGCTATAGATTAATTATTCAATATAAAATAATGAAGTTACAAAAGTCTGAAACATAACATTTAATGCATTTCCTTTCCCAACATCTTGCTTTAAAAACAAATATACTTAGACATTCTGCAACTTGTACGTGATACTGTTCTCTCCCAATTTGATCCCATCACCTGAATCGTTTATCGTATAGATTTCTCGTATTGTGCTTTTCATACCCAAAGAATGCAATAGCCACACAGCACTGCGTCTGCCAGTTTTTGTTTCGGATAGTGCGGTAAAGGTGGGCGAGGTGCGCCTTGAGTCGCAGCGATGTGGTCTGGAGCCTCGGACATCCGCTTCCGCCGGCTGCACCACCTCTACCGCACCACCTTTGTCTGTGTGTGGTCGCTAGCCTGGTGCGAGGCCGGATATGCCCAAGAGAATCGCTGTGGTTTCTGATATTGATCAAAAAATAGGTTCACAAACTTAACGACAATTTGTTTGCTTTGTTACAATTTCCGACACACTATATTCCTACAAATTTACTACTGCAAGAGCCGTCAATTCACCAGGTCAACAAGCCAAGTGCAATTTAAAATATCCTAAAGCATTAGTAGTCCCAAATGAAGCGTAGACACCACAATAATTGTGGTGACTACGCTTCATTTGAAACTTCTTGTGCATTAGAATATTTTGCAATTGGACTTGGCTTCTTGACCTGTTGAATTCTAGAGAGCCCTCTAGAGAGCACCTTAATCCGGCGTAACGGTGTATACGGCACTTTAAAGGCTCGTTCTTCTCCACGAACAATTCCAAAACCACGACTGACAGCTGTGGCGCATGCTCGCCCTGCAGACGCCGCTGTTCCGCCAAGACTCGCTCCGTTCCTCATCCCGCCTCAAAAGAATCAGGTTCAGTGAATACAATAGCCCGAAAATGCGCGGAAGGGAATTAAAAGGAAGTATGAAAAGTCGGATTTAGAAATTTCATTTGATTGTGACACGTGAAGTTTCTACTTGGTTTTACCAAATTATTATTTAAGGAATATGTTTTTTACTAATAGAGATTTAAAGTACACACCTCGAAGTATCGCATTCACAGTGCATACGATTCTACTACTCGAGAGAGCAAAACTATTTGCATCGAAAAGCACACCTCACTTGTTAGTGTGAGAGCAAAGAAAGCGCCGTGCGAGACTTGTGCAAGTTCAAACTTGCACTGCAAGGATTCTCCATTCCTTTCCTGGTCGGGTCACGACGAAGGAGACATTTTGCTACTCCTTTCACGTGAAATGGAGCTTCTGAAGCGTATTTTGATTTTGAACTTTTTGTCAACTTTCCCCTCCTCTGACCCCTCTGTGCGACGGTGGCAGGATTTTTACACTAGCTTGTCAGCTAGCTAGTGTAGTCTAGTTTGTCGAGTT